TTCAGATACATGTCAAGGTTCTTCATTCCTGTTCCTGCACCAGCAGAAACCACAGCTGGACCATGACAATTCAAACTGTTTACTAATAAAATAAGCTTTCTAAACTCCACAGTCTCCATGATTTCTCATCTGTTGATGTGTGTTGAAATTCCATGCTTCCTTGGTGCCACAGGCCCACAAACCATGATGAGTTCAGGGCTGAGGAGGGAGAAACCCGTCTTTTGAGAGGGGACAAAGGTACTGACAAAGGCGTGCTCTGGGGCCACACTGTCACTCCAATGTGTGGCACAGCTAAGTCACACCCGGCTGCCTCTGGCACCATCCTCACTGTGGCTCTGAAGGCAAGAAGTTCAAAGCCCAAGAAACCCTGTTTCCCCCTCACCCCAGCCTCACCAGTGGATCTTATACCCCTCACTCTAAAGACTCAGATGCCTGGAGCACATGTCGCTCCCTCAAGAATGAAACGAAGCTAGGTTCCCAAAGGCAGCTTTTGATCACAAGTGCTGCTCTGACTCAGATGCAAATGCCAAAACCAGTTGCACTGATTATCAATTGAGAAAAATGAAAATGTGGGGAGTTCAGATTAGTAGGAAGAGGAAAATATACCTCACAAACTCAAATCAGGGAACCAGTGAATTCTGGCTTTTAAAAAGTTTTGTGTGTGTTTTTTTTAACCTCCAAACACATGGAAATTAATACAATTATGAATATGCTTATTATGAGTTGTGCACATAATGTGGTGTGTCCCTGACCATAGGTTCACAAGCAGATTTGTTTCTTTATATATTTCTTTTTTTTTTTTTTTAAGATTTATTTCTTTATGCATATAAGAGCTAGGGCCAGAGGTACAGGGGGTGAGAGAATTCACCAGAGAGAGGGGGGAGCAGAACAGGCAGATGGACCGAAGACACTGCTGAGGGGAGCAGCGGGCGAGGCAGGAGAGGTCTTGCTGTGCCATGTGGGTAGCTCCCTGGCCGGCTGGGGATCAAACTCGTACTGCAGAAGCTGCGGATAGCTTCACAGTGCTGTGCTTAACCCCTTGCGCCACCAGGGAGGTCCTGTTTCTTTATATATTTCTAAGCCTTGGCCAGCTCTTAGGGTAAGTGTTTGCTAGGCATTTCCTCATTTAATCCTTGGGGCCAGGGCTGTTTTTATTCACCTTTTACAGGTGAGAACACTGAGCCTTAAGCAAAAGTAAGAATTATAGAGAAAGTGGCAGACCAAGGCTAACTTGGATTATCTGCACTGGACTGCCTCTCAGCATTACCAAGGGGACATGGTAGCCCCCCCACCCCCCATCACCCAAGAGTAAATTCCTGGAATCAACTTAAGTGTTACTCAGCCCCTGAGGAGACTGCTGGGACGGTGTCAGACACCAAGACCTCTCGGTGAGGCAGAAGGGAACTGAAAGCAAGGAGATGTGCCTGGATCTCAGTATGTAGGAGAATAAGCCTTCAGGAGAAGAAACCCATGATCACAAACCACTAAAAACAATACAAAAATCAATGCAGGCTGGTTTGAACCAAGATTAATGAGCTTTCAGGATCCTGGACACTCTCCAGTTCACCAACAAACGTTGCATTTCTCATCCCAGGCTTTCTGGATGGAACTCTGCCCTTAACATTCTAGGTGCCCACACCCCCAAAGCCTCAAGCGGTGTTTCTCTTCAGCGAGGCTCTCCTCGCCCTATACTACAGTGGGAACAACCCCGGAGCCACCCCAGCACAGGCAGGTGGTGGGAGGTTAGTCCTGGGCAGCTGTGGCAGGAGCACTGAAGTCTAGAAAATTGGAAGTGCACCAAACTTTACACGCAGCAAAACTACCATTATTTCATCAGTGATGCTGACACAACCCCAACTGCACTAACGCCAAGCCTATGCTTTATTAACCCTTAATTAATCACAATTCTTGATTAACTAGAGCCTAGCAGCCTGCTTTGAAAACAAGTTCATATCAAGACATTAAAAAAAAAAAAAGGTTTCTGTCCATGTTCTAGGAGCAGTACAGATCTGACTACAAATCAGACCTCACTTGTTTGCAGTAACAGCTCTGTGAGAACTGATGGTAAAAACCAGGCCCCTGAAGAATTTCAATATTTTGAATTATCACAGAAAGAAGAAAGATGAAATCATACCGAGGTGGAACAGTGTGGTCGTATGCACAGAATCTGTGACCGCATAGATGGAAACAAAAAGGGGTATCTGCTTGCCCCTGTTTTGGTCACAAAGTTCAGGGAAGCAAAGGGCCCCCCCGGCTCCCCCTCAGTACCACAGGGTCATTACATGAACAGACGATCCGTCTGTCATTCCAATGTGGGTCTGCTCAGGGCACGCACTGCTAGGTGTTGGGGCACTAAACACCAACCTATGCGCAGTATGAAAGCTGAAGAGACAGCAGACTGCTAAATAAAAGTGCCACACAAGTCAGGGTTTATGCTACGGGCTTTTGGAACCACTGGCAGCTCAACTCCATCTTATAGATCCACCTGGGACTTTAATAGCTAACCTCTCTTGCTTGGATAACAACCACAAATAGGATCTCTCTTCCGCCAGATCTCACTTTTTGGTAGAAAGATTCCAATGAGCTTATTTTATTCTAGTATCAGAAGTGGCAGTGAGGACTCCAAAGGACACATCCTATGTGACTGTTGGATGGAGGTGGCCTTGCCAGCCTGGGGACTACTGGGGATTAGGCGAGGAACGGAGGCAGGATGCTATTTTATTATCAGGCACCAATTATCTTCACTGCCCAGTCTTGTTGGGAGAACAACAAACTGTTGCAGAAGAAAAGCAGTATTAAATTAATTCACTCAACCACCACCGACTGCCTGTCTACTGGGGGCCCACAACTACTGTCCCGGTGGGAGTTCACGCTGACCGTGACGCTACCCCAGGCTGCGGGGAGCTAAGGCAGAAGACAGTCTTCAGAGAACTGAGAGACAGCTGGCTCGCTGAGAATGACAACAGACCACACCTCCGTGCTGTTGGTTTGCTTTGCTTGAGAAGAATAGGAATGGAGACAGACAGGCAAGGCTCTAGAGGACGAGGCGAGAGCATGGGCAGCCCCTCCATTCCACAACCAGCAGCTGCCAGGTGCAAGCATGTCACCACACGAAAGGGCTTGATCTTGAGTTCATTTTGAGAGACACTCAAAATGACCCTGTTTCCATGCTAGGGTTATTGATCTAAGACATATGCCACCAACACAAAGGATTTACAGACAGACCTGACTGGACAAGAAGCCATGACCTTCCCCAGCCCAACAATGACACAAGATGTGAAGGGCAACTGGTTCTACAGTCCCATGACATGCTCTTCAGAATGAGGCAGCCTTCCAGACCCCTGGAGGCTAGACCAGCCCCCCAGGAACAATGCCTGCTTTCAGACTCAAAGCATGCTGCGGCCAGTTCCCAGTGCCACCTGTCCTCAGGAGGGCTTGACGTGCCTGGGGACAGAGACAGGCAAGCTCATGCATAGGTTAGTATCACAGAGGGAGTACCATCACCACATACAGAGTACCTGGGAGTAACCTACTTTGAAGGCTCAAATGCAGATAGGTCTTCTGCCTTGGGCTTGAGGCTAAACCAGCAAAATAAAATGAAGAAAAACAAAACATACCCTGTGATATCAACAATGCCACATGCATTTGCAAAATGCTCAGACAGGCCTGAAACTGTGACAAGTGACTTCATTTGTTTGTTTTTATGGCTTGGAAATGGGTCTCTCCAGCTTTCAGCACTCCAGGTTGCTGCCGCCCAGGGCCCAGCTCCTGCAACAGCTTAATGATGCGACTGCTCCCAGCGCCTGGAGTAGGGGGCAGGGAGAAGAGGCAGGGGCGGGCCCGGGCAGGCCGAGGTAGCGCCCTTGAGGGCTGACTGGCTCACTGGCCCAGTCGTGGTTCTACTTCTCTTCTGTCTGCTCGCTAGCTGAGGCCTCACTTTAAGCCCCCTTCTGTTAACTGTTAATTATTTGGTTTGGGAAGAGAAACCCAGTAAATAACAGAAGTCAGAGGAAAGAAGAACACAGAATGTGGAAGTGTCTTTCCTTCTAGGTTACCCTTTTAAAAGGAATTCTCTACCAGGTGCCATACCAACTGGAGTGAAGAGAGTTTTTGGGACTCCCAACTGTATCCATCAACAACGGCAGGTAGATACAGACTCCTGAGTTTTCAGATTCAGCTTAATCACTGAAAACAGATAGTTCTTTACACTGGGAGACCGTTTTCAAGAGTAAGTAAAAAAATTAACCCTATGGAAATTATCATTATCTAAATGCAATGATCTTATCTGAGTGACATTTTACAGGCATTCACCTGATGCTGGGCCATCAGTCAGGGGCAGATATCACAAGCAGGAGAGCAGCTTGCTACTTGGCCCAAGGTAAAAGAAGTATGCTCTTGGGCCAATAATTAGTATAGAATTTAACTTCTCTAAAATGCTGAAAGCTCAAAATACCAGTGGAGAAAGATAGGGAACGATTAGCAACATAAGTGAAGTCTCCTCATTTAAAATATTGAGGTTCTTCTCAACACTTTCTTTTAAGTATGAAAAACATTAAAAATTCAAAATTTAGTTTCTAGACCAAGAATAGAATTTCATAGTCCTTGCCAGTTACAAACACTAAAAGTCTAGAACAGGAGCCTTTTCTCAACAGCCTCCATTTCCTTTTGCTTTTTCATTAAGTAAGGCAGCTCCCTGGGCATAACTCCCCTCGGCTTAAAAGACAGAACTGCTTTACTACTAAATGATGGATCAAAACCCATCCTGTAACAGGGACTCATTTCATCAGAGCTTTTAACACAAGCTCCCTTCCATCAAGCCGATGGGTTCACAGTCATTGGCAGATTAAATTCCCTTTCTGGCACGAGTCAAAAAATTTCCTCAATTAAGAACATATAAAAAATGACAACAGTCTAATGACTCAGCTTCTGAAGAAACCAGATGCCAACCTCACATTTCATTAACGACTGTCCTGATCAGCAAAAGACAAGAGAGTCAGTACCTTTTTAATGGTATTGTGCTTGCTGCTGGTGCCACCCCGGTCAGAGTTCTCATTGTGCAGAATATCCAGGGCTGTCTCCCTCTCTTTGAGTTTTAAGGCCTCGATCTCTGTCTTGAGTTCATTGAGTTGTTCCTGCAGGTGCTTGCTCTTCTCCATGTACTCCACTCTGCCGGCAAGAGGACATTGTGAATCACATGTTCGGCAAACAGTGAGACATTTCAGGGTTGAGGTGCTCCATGACCCGTGAGCTCTTGGTGTGGGACCCAGAGCCGGAAGCCTGGAGTTCAGATCTACCTGACCACTGAGGCCACGGGACCCCGAGTCAGTCACTGAGCTGCTCTGAACCTGTTTCTTTGACCGTAAAATAGGGATAGTGATCGCAGCCGTGCATAGGAGAGCTCTCTGCAAACTTTCATGAAGTGCTCTACAAATACTTTCAGAATAGCTTTCAGTTCTCTACAAAAACAAGCCTCCTGGCACCTAAAACAACCTCCCCATCTCAACCCTTCTCAGGGCAGTAACTCTATTCAAGTGACCTTTTATGACAGGCTGTGGAGCCTACTTGTTTTGGGATGACACATGTTTGCTCAGCCAACACGGGGAAGAAAACAATCCCCACCATCACTTGCAAGTAGACACACAGTGTCTATGATGGCTGAAAATCTGGGAAGCATGAAGTATCCAGCTAAAAGGGCATGAATCAGCAAACCACACAATAAATACCAAGGAACGATCTGTAGTGATTCTCATGGCTGGTGTATAGACTCTGTCAACAGTGCAAGGGTAGTGAGGAAGGAAACAGAAACCATAAAAAGCGGACACAGAAGAGGATGCAGCCTCACCCTGACCACAACCATGCCTAGAATGCCTGGGCCTTGGTGAAAGGCGGAAGGACTGGGAGAGAGAGTCTGGTTCACCGGCTACTTATCCACACCTCAGAGTACAAGCCCAAAGAGAAACAGCCCTCCTCGAGGCCACACGTGCTGGGCTCCAGAGAGAAACTCCCAGAGGTTTACTCGAGAACACGGACCAAGGTGAGAGCTCACAGGCTATAAAGGCAGGTGGGCTTGGAGCTAAATCCCTGTTCTGTCCCTCTTCAGCTGTGGGATACTAGGTGAGCTCATTAAAAGCTTTACATCTGAGTTCTCATTTACAAATGAGAACACTAAAACCTACCTTTGATGTCAGTTAGTTACTGGGAATTAATTAAAGCTAAAAAACCCCAGTGCCCAAGCACCCGATACATGGTAGCTACTGTGACTATCCCCTGGCAGCTGTGGCAGAGCTGGTCAGTTTACCTACAGCCTCGAGAACTGGAAGGACCTCAGGTAGAAGACTTCCTCTGTAGGGGGACTCCTTCTCATTTTGGACAAGTGACATGAAGGACAGTGCAGCAGAAGCTGCTGCAATAGGACAGGCCAGGCTCTGGTCAACACTGGCCCACACACCAGGGCTGGCCCATCCTGGTCACTGCCCTGGATGCTTCCTTGGCCTCCAGTGAGACATGTTCTAAACATGGAAGCTGTTCCTCCCTGTTGGCAGAAGGGGTTAAGTCTCAGCACTATGAGTCTATCAGCGGACAGTGCAGCAGAAGCTGCTGCAATAGGACAGGCCAGGCTCTGGTCAACACTGGCCCACACACCAGGGCTGGCCCATCCTGGTCACTGCCCTGGATGCTTCCTTGGCCTCCAGTGAGACATGTTCTAAACATGGAAGCTGTTCCTCCCTGTTGGCAGAAGGGGTTAAGTCTCAGCACTATGAGTCTATCAGCAGCCACTGCAGCACGAGTTCAATTCCTGGCCAGGTTGCTGACCCACATGGCACAGCAGACCTCTCCTGTCTCACCAGCTGCTCCCCTCAGCAGTGTATTTCAGTCAATCCGCCTGTTCTGCTCCCCACTCTGGTGAATCCTCTTATCCCTGCACCTGACCTACATACACCCCAGCTCTTGTATGCATAAATAAATAAAATGAATCTTTAAAAAAAAAGTAAGCATGGAAGCTGCTAGAGAGCTCAGCCACCACAGCACGCAACTAGGAAACGTTCTGAACATCATCACATACTCTGTGCCCATGTGAGCAGCAGTGTGACTGACTCGGAAGCCCCTGACAACCAGTCCTACCTGTTAGGGAAGCTTCTGAGCTACTATAAACTCCAGGGCATCAATCAAGTGTTGTTTTTATCCTGGAAGATTAAATGCTGGTCTGGTGTCCTTCGTTTCTGATTAGGAAATTCTTCTTCCAGTGAGTGAGAACAGAGCAAACTTTTACAGGTGCTAGCAACAAGCTGCTATGGTGGCCCTTGACTTTCCCCAGGTGCAGAGTGACTCACTCTGGTTCACCAGCTGCCCAGCAGGATGTGGGGGTGGGAAGGGCTACGTACTTTTCTTTTTCTATCTCCATGGAAAGTCGCTTCATGTCAGTATCCTTGAAGTCGAAAGACAGGGTGTCTCCAATGAGGTTGAAGCTTGGTATGTCAGGAGGCAACGGTGCTGGAATCGGGTTCATGGGCTATGAATGAGAAATCTCTGATTAGGAGGTATAAGTTATGCAAGAACAGAGGGGCACTGCTGTGTTAACCACCAACCCTCCAGCAGTCACAAAGGCAATGGGCACAGTATGAGTCAGGCCTCCTAGCACAATGATGTCCTCTGGTCACGACTGTCACCCATGTCTCCTCTCTTCGATCCCTACACACTTAAGGTTGCCAGGTGATCAGTCCCAATGATTCCAAATCATTCTTCGCCCCTCAAACATGTAGCTGTTCTTCATGCCCTTTCAACTCAGACACAAACTCCTACTTACTTCATTGAGGAAATGCAATGCCCAGGCCCTGTGCTAAGGAGCTGGAGACACAAGGAACAAGACAGGGCCCCTGGCTATGAGCAAATGAAAATCTTGTTCAGTGAACAGATGTATTCACAGACCATCATAGTTAAATGAGATAAACACTGTAGCCAGGGAGTGGGAGAGACCTGGGGAGCTGAAAAAGGTACACTAGAAGAACTGCTGGTTCGGCTGGCTTCAGAGGATGTGCCAGAGGAGAAGGCTTGTCAGGCAAGAAGCCTGACATTGGGCAGGGCAGACAACAATTAGTGAGATGCTGAGTGTCTTCAGAGCCAGTGTGGAAAGGCAGGTGGCTGACTGGAAACAGATCACAAAGCCCCCATACCCTGAGGGGCTTAGATTCAGAAGATGGAGCCAGAGTAGGGTTTGAAGCAGAGGGGTGGAGCAATTAGATTTGTTTTGAGGACTTTTTCATACCAGAACAAAGAAAGGGTCATTTAAAATATGGCCCCAACCTACTTCTTCAGTGTCTCCTATCACTTTCCTGCAAAATCATGAATGACATCATTTATCATCCCTTGGACCAGTTTGCTTTTCTATCTCCCTTCCTTTGCTTAAACCATTTCCCTTCCCTATTATTCAATTTCTCTTTCTTTTTCTTTTTTAAAGATTTATTCATTTATGCATAGAAGAACTGGGGCACAGACCAGAGGTGTGGGGGGTAAGAGGATCCACCAGAGACAGAGTGGGGAACAGAACAGGCAGACTGACTGAAACACACTGCTGAAGGGAGCATGGGGTGAGTCAGGAAAGGTCTGCTGCACCATGTGGGTTGCTCCCTGGCCGGGGATTGAACTCATGCTGCAGTGGCTGTGGATAGCTTCATAGGTTGTGTCCTAACCCCTTGCGCCATAAGGGAGGCCCTCCATCTCTCTTTCAAGTCCCCTCTCAAATGCTATGATTTCTCACCGAAGTCTTTCTAGATTCCTCCTGGCCAGATGGCACTCTTTTCCTCTCAGTGTGTGAACACTGTTTCCGATTCTCTAATGGCACTTCTCTAATTCTACCCCCCAAAAAACCTTTTTTGGCTGTGTATTCTTCCTTTTGCTGTTGGCAAGTTTCCTGAGGGCAGGATCTGCCTCTTTTTCATCTTTGGATCCTTTGAGTCAAGGACAGTGTCTGGGAAAGAGCAGAGGCTCAGAACATTCATTTGAGATTACAACAAGACCTCAAGTAGAGAGTCCGCATGGGTATTAAAGGTAGTGCTGAGAGGGGCTTCTGGGGCACTAGAATATTCTGTCTTTTGATCTGAGTGTTGGGTGTATGGTTGTGTTGAGTTTGTGAAAATTGCTCAAACCATAGAATTATAATTCAGGCTCTTTTCTGGATCTATCTTGTACACTTCATAAAAATTTCTGAAGAGTGCCAAGTACTGTACCACTGGCAAGAGTATACAATTGCACAACCTCTGCAGAGAGCATCCAAATTGGAAAATTTGACCCCACAGTCCCATTTATGAGAATTTATTCCACCAATATATCCAAACTTATGTGCAAAGATTTGTGTTCAGGGATGTTTGGTATAGTTTTGTTCACAATTGCAAAAGAAAACAGACCAAATACCCGCTCATAGGGAACTGGTTAGATGAATTACAATCCATTCATTCAATGAAATATGATAAAAAAAATCCTGGATGTTCTCCGGGATTTATTGCTAAGAAAAAATGTCAGGACAATGTGTAGGTTTTTTCTAATGTATGTTTTAAAAACACACACCTCTCAGGTCTGTGGCCCTGATGAACTCTCAGATGACTCAGTCCCAGCTGCCATTTGCCTGCAACTGCCCCAGAGATACTGAGCAAGGACCACAGCCCATCAACCCAGACCACCATGGGAGATAATAAATGGTTGTGCTGAGCTACCTGATTGGTTTGTTACACAGTAATAGAGAACCAGAACAGATGACTGTAGCAAGCTGTTGATGTATTCTCCACCTCAAACCCAGGCCAACATATGCCTCTGTGCCCTTCACACTTCTGTGTTAGTGGCACCTCGTGGGCTTGGCTAGAATACCCTATCATCTTCCCACCTGGTATTTCCTACCTGGCTAGTTTCTACTCCCCCTTGTCTTTCCTGACCCTCCAGGTGGGCTAAGCTCCCCTCTAGCACCTGTGTACCCTGCATACAGACTCCACATCTGCTTGGTATTATATGAAACAGAGCAGGTGTGCAAAATGTTTGCTGAACTGAATGCACAAAGGAAAGGAAAGGAATGGGATTCTTTATTTTTTTGTGACCCCATTTAACTGAAGGCTGCCTCCTTGTCCAAAATTGAGACTGGAAGCTGGTTCTTGCATGGAAGTGGTTCACTCTGAGCATACAAGCTATCCCTGCCCAGACTACAACTCTGGTGTTTGGTATATATTAGCAGTTGAAGGTGACACTCAGCTTGGCAACAAGAGAACAAATTCTCTTAAGGACAGTTTGGGGTTACAGCAGAATAAAAAGTTTTCAGTGCTAGAAAAGCCCTGTTGGGCCTCCCTGGTGGTGCAGGGGTTAAAGACAACACTATCAAGCTGTTGTCAGTCACTGCAGCACAAGTTCAATTCCCCAGCCGGCCAGGGAGCAACCTACATGGTGCAGCAGACCTTTCCTGTCTCGCCCGCTGCTCCCCTCAGCAGTGTATTTCAGTCAGTCTGCCTGTTCTGCTCCCCACTCTGTCTCTGATGGATCCTCTCACCCCCCGCACCTCTGGCCTGTACCCCAGCTCTTGTATGCATAAATAAATGGATCTTTAAAAAAAAGAAAAAGAAAAGGCCCTGTTGCTTGTAATCTGGGAACCAGAATGGTGACTAGTCTAAGGCCAAATGGCAGACCAGGGGTTTGACCCAGCCCCTAACTGGGCTTTCTGCATAACTTCTTCTGCCATTTGTCTGTTTTAATGGAAGGGCTAGAAGGGACAGGAAGGTCATCGTGTCCGGAGAAGCTGCAGGTTGGCAGCCCCCACCCAGGCTCACCGGGTATGTGGGCTTGGTAGTGATTTCCAGGAGCTTTTGCTTGGCTCTTCGCTCTGCTTCACGGGCTTCCTGCAGGTCCTGCTTTAGCTGATCTGCTTCCTTGGCCCTGCAAGGACAGGAGGCGCCATTACCTCCACAGAAGATGACAGGTAGAGGCAAGAGACCCTCTTCCTACTCTACCCTCTTAGGATGGACTTGGGTTAATCCTGAGGATGGCACCAGACCAGGCAAGTAAGGATGATGAGGGGAAATTTACAGGAAACCAGAACATCTAAAGCAAGGATTACATTTCTGGGTATTATCCATTTCCACTGGTAAATCTAAACTGGAAGAGCAGGGAAGCTGGTGGGAAGAAGAGTCCTGCATGAACCTTTGCAATCAGTGGAGGGGGAGGAGACGTGGGGATGGGCTAGAAGCTTTGAGTCACTTCTGAGTGAGACTGTACTGGGCAAAGGAAGAATTTGGATCAAAGCTTTCATGATGAATCACAAAGAAAAGGATGTGAAAGAAGGGATTTTTCACAGCTGCCAATAAAACTACTGCAGGCCAAGGTCTAATGTCTTCAGGCAGGAAGACAAGTACCAAGGGCCTCATGCTTTGGTGCAGGTCTTCACTTTCAGGACACAGGACCGGGGAACCAGGCCCAACACACATCACTCATGAGGTAAGTGACCCACAAGCAGAAAGTGACCTGAGACAGGGTAGGAAACAAGGAACCATATTCCCAGAATTAAATGCAAAAAGTGGAGAGAAAAACTACAGTGACTACCCGTTGGTAGCTAAAAGCCAAATTCAAGTGTCTAAATCAACAGAGCCAAATGCTGTGGGGAATACACCGTGTTGATCTGAAGGCTGTAGAACCAGAAAAATCCAGCACCTACATGCTTTTGAGCAGCACAGTTTACACGACCCCTCAATCTGGTCACGAGCCGGGGCACCCTGGCCCTCCACTCCCTTTTGCCCTGGGAAACTTCACACCAAGGAAGGGTTGCAAGGAAGTGGGTGTTTAGTTTCTATTTTAAAGGTAAATAACTGCTGTCTCCCCACATGCCCCCTAAATAAAAAGCGAAAAGAACCATTTTTTTCTTAATATAAGAAGAGCCTCCTCATATCTCTCAGTTAAAAGCAATGTGTTCCATGGTTTTCCTGCAGATGCATGATCGGAGGGATAGGGCTTATCACAAAGGCACAAGCCTGACTAGAGACACTCACTCTGCAAGAGAACTGTGTTCCTGTGTCCTCTACTAGCTCCAGTCCCCAGATTGGATTATGTGCCAGACCCCACCAACCCCAAGCAACCAAGGAAGAAATTTCCTTGCTCTCCTTCCCGCCCCCCAAGAAGATGAGAAGTAGCTTGAAGACTGCTGCGGTCAAGTTCTGCCCCAGGGATGCAGCACCAGTGCCAAGGGTGCCTCTGCCCCCGACCCAAGCTCTGACCTCCTCTCTGATTCCTCAGCCATCTTCAGTGCCAGCACCTCGGCTTCCAGCACCTTCTGCTCCATCAGGCGCTTCTCTTCCTCTGTCCGAATGGCTGTGGCCTTGATGCGCTGCATTTCCTGTTCGGCCTCTGCAGCCTTCTGAGCCAGAAGTTTTGCCTCCTCCTCAGTGATTTGGGCCTTTTCTGCCAAGAGGTCAGCCGTTTCTTCAGACCTCATCTGGGGAGAAAAACACTGTCAGCTGGAATGTGGTGGTGGTGGTGGGGCATTCCTGATAGCTGGTGTCAGACACTCAGGTCAGCAAGAACCAGAATCTCAGGCTCCTCAGGGCACTGCCCACTGAGAGTTCCCTCGGTGACACTGGCAACAGATGTCAAGTCACACGACTCGGTTTTTCAGAAGAGCCCCTCAGTTTTCATCTGTGAGGACCAACAAGAGTAAGTCCCTTCCTAGAGCACTTGTTTGAGCTAAGGCTTATGCTTTATGAGGGAGAAAAACTCAGTTCTTCCCCTTTAAATCAGGGCTCAAAACCAGACACATTTGCCCCACCCCCACCCCCGGGGCCTTGTAACAGTGTCTGGAGACATTTTTGATTGTCAGAATCGAGGGGTGACCAAGTGCTGCTGGCATCCAGAGTGTAGAGGCCAGGGACACTGCTAAATGCTGAACCCCCTTCAATGCAGGAGAGGGCCCCCACCACAAAGAAGGATCTGGCTCCCCTGTCAGTAGCACTGAGGCTGAGAAGCCCTACTTTAAAGGCAGCCCACAGTGAAAATGAAGCTCTGCTGCGCATGAACTTGGCCTAATTCTACTTCTGTCCATGCAGGTGGGAACAAAAGGGACTTTTTTTTTTGATTTGGAATAAAGTGTCAAAGTGAATGTCACTAATCTGTGGTCCTCGAGAGGCCTAACTCCAGAAACCAAGAGTCCTGTGGAGCCTCCTGGTACACGACCCCTCAGATGTGAATCACCAGTGCTTCATTGGCCATCGTTGCTTCTTCTTTCATCTGCAGCAGCCTCCTCTCCAACTCATCCCTGGTGCGTTCAGCCTCCTCCCTCATCTGCTTCTCTCGAGCGAGGCGCTGCCGCTCCATCTGTGAGGGAGCAAGAGCCGTCAGAGTCGGGGCTCAGACCTGTGGTGCCACCGGGTCCAGGAAAGCCCAGTGTCCCAGTCTCCCCTTTGGGGGACCCCTTTCTTCCCTCTGCTCTAGGTAGCCAGTGTCATTCTCGTTGCTCACCACCCTCTGTCTTTCCAAATTAGCCGTGCAGTTGAAAACTATGTCCTTAGAAGAAACAGCAACCAACTAACAAGCAAAAACCAAACCCAGTCTCTACCTGGACACTGCAGGCTGAAACAGCCAATATTGCTTTTTGCTGAGAGAGCTCATGTGGCTCTGCCCTGCGGCTCCCAGGACACAATGGAGTTTCCTTCTTCCTGAGATGGAGCCCCAGAAACAGCCAGCTTTCTCATCTGGTTGGATGAGCCACCTTGTTGATTCTAATCCACTCAGACCCTCATTTCATCAACAATAGCTCCACTCTTGCCTCTGACCCACGGAGAAGATGGAAGCGCTCTGCGTGATGCATCAATAGTTCCTACATTGTATTTCACAGGGGGGAAGCTGCAGCAGCCACAGCACAGATTCTCACTGTCTCACAAGGAGGCAACTACCCGAGCCAGGACTGTGACAGGAGGGAGCCAGGCAGGGAACACATCCCCCCATCCTTAAGGCATCAGTACAAAGCCACCGCCACCTCCCTTGCCTTCTGGATCACTGTATTAATTGGGCCACATGCTGAGCTTAATAAGGGGAACAAGCACAGGACAAGTGCTCTTCTCTGTGATCCTAGGGTACCAACCGAGTTCCAAAAGCAGAAGCCAGAGATGACCACTGCACTATTTTCTTTCTTAAATAATTAATGCACATTTACTTACTTACTTACTTATTGCTTCAGCCTTTTCCTAAACTCAAGATTTCTAAGATTTCTAAGCAGATTAAAAATGCATTGGGACTTAAAGGAGTAATGCAAAGTAAGCAACAAAATATTATAACTTCTCCAATTTTTCCCTTGCAGATAAATGTAAAGGTTGGCCAATTTGTTCCCTAATTTTTATTAGGTGGATGGCCATATCTCCATCAGCCTCCACTTGAGAGAAGCCGACACAATCCCCTCTGGTTTCCAGCTTTGCTTTTCCCAGGACCTCAGTGCCCCCTCACGCCCCTTCCACTCCCTGGCCCATAAGGGTCTCCTATTGGCAAAGCAATTTAAGATGACAAAGAATTTCCAGTGTCCTTTGATCTGAGGCAGAGAAGAGGTATCAGTAGCTCCATCTGACAGATGAGAAAACTGAGGTCTAGAAGGTAAGTCATTCACTAACATCACGAACTGTTTCACACCAAGTTAGTGCCTGTGCTGCCTCCCATGGAGTCCCCTGACCTGCAGTCACCAGATATAGAGGACCTGCCTCTGCTGATCTATAGGCGGCACAAGTTTGGGGTCCATTCGTGCTATTCTCTGCCTACATGCTTCTGTTTTTCAAATCTTGCTTCTAAGCTTTGTTCTGCTGAAAAAGTGGTCAGAGAGAGCTCTTCTTAAAGTTGCCCGCAAGATACTGTACTGGCTCAGGAGCATTTCGTCATCCAAAAAAACCCATTCTACCACCCCAAACATCCCAAAGAGTACAATATGGATTGCTGTCCCAGAAAGCAGAGCTGGATAGCTGAAGCACACTGGAGCAAACGGATTACTTCATTCTAAATCTCAAGGGTGGGAGCCGGTCTTGCCAGAGTACCCAAATCAGAGAGCTGCGCACAGACTAATTATTACACCTCTGAGCCTGCCAGTCCTAAGGGCAGTGACTGCAGCTGCTGCTACTCTAAGAGTTGGTCCAAAACCACAATTGATATTCTCAGCAGCAAAGCTCAGATTAGTTGTGTGGATTTCGGTGAGTCGAAAGGTTTATGAGTAGAAAACAATGATGCAGATTGTCCAGTCTGCTGATACACACCAACACCTCCCGCTGCGGGCGATATGCTGCCTGGGCTGACCTGCAGTGGGGAAGTGCGGCCAGAGTCTAATTAGCATTCCAGCAGCAAGCGCTGAAATGCCGCCATGCATTCTATCACCATCTAATTAGAAAAGGAGAAGGCCAGGCAAAGGAGACGGGCAGGCAAAAAGAAGCTAGCTAGTTAGATGGAAGGATGTAAGGATGGATGGATGGATGGAAGGATGGAAGGATGGATGGATGGATGGACTGGAGGGAGAGAGAGAAAGAGGGAGGGAGAGAAGATGGATGCAAGCTTGGCTATCTCTTCCCAAACCAGCATTAATCATATTTCACTTATTTCATTAAGTGGAGAAATAACTAGAGACATTTCTTTTTTAAATGCTATTAGAGTTTATTCCTCATCTCCAGAGTTGACAACCCACTAGCTGGGCATCAGCCAATAAGGCCCCGACAGGGATCAAACAGGAGCAGATGTGTCCATGTCAAGATGACTCTTGTCTGTCCATGACCATTCTTTACCTCCCCTTACAGGCGACGACCACCCAGTGACAGTAACAGCAAGTCAAACATGGTCTTGCTCACCTGTTTTCGAGCCTTCTCCTCCCTGGCCTGGGCTTTCATCTGCTGAACTTCCAAAGAATCAGCCTTCCTTCTCCTCATAAAAAGATCATGGTTTCCAATACATAGCTGGAGAATCTGTGGCCATGGAAGCAAAAGAGTTAAACTCACAAATTCACCACCTACCAACTGTGCTGCAGCATCTTGATCTGGGGGCTCTTGCAGGCAGCAGGAGGAAACTTGAATAGGAGAGCATGGGGTGAAATACCAAAACTCTACCACTGGCCTCAAGTGCTCAGCTCTGGAGATAGGCCAAGTCTCTGTGCCTCAGATAAGCCAAGCATCAAAAGTCACAAGTGAAGAAAGAAAGGACAGTAGCATGCCTTCTGGATGTACTGCAGTTTCCTAAGTTGAGAGGTGGCTTTGCAGTTCAGGGAGGAAAATTCATTCAATAGGGTGGGTCAAGACAATAGGTTATTCACATGGAAAAAATAAGTTGGATCCCTCCCTTTCACTACACGCAAAAATTAACCTCAGAAGGATTAAAGATTTAAATGCGAAGATCAAGCCCTTGAACTTTTAGAAGAGAATACAGAATGTCTTTATGATTAAAGGATAAGGAAGAATGTGAAGTAAGACACAAAAAGCACAAATGATTAAGGAAGAGATGTATATATTTGTCTACATTAAAATTAAAAAAAAATTGTCTCATGCACTCTGTTGGGTTTGTAAATTACTTCACCTTTTTTTGGGGGGTGGGGAGAAACAACATGGCATACTCTTGAATTTGGACACACACTACAGTCCTGCACTGTACTGTTGTGTATAGACTTTACACTAGAGAAATGGTTGCCCATGAGCACAGGGAGGCAGACATGAGAATGATTGCTCATAATAGCCCTATTAAAATGGTACAGGAGTGTAATGCACTTAATTGTCCATTAATGGAATGAATAAATATCATAATGGAATACTACACAGTAGCAAAAATGAAGGGATTCTGTCTAAGTATTAACATAGAAAAATCTCAAAAATTGTGTAAATAAAGCAACAGAAGAATAGAGTTGACAGCATTTATATACATTTCAAAAAACATGTAAAATTTAATAGTATATTTGTTTTGCTATATATGGAATAAAGTTCTGATGACAAGCAAGGGGTAATGAATGCACAGCTCAGAACATGAACACCCTCAGTGGGGTGTGGCGGGTAACACAGGGATTCAACAGTATTGGGAAGCTGCTTGTCTTTAAAGCTGGTATGTAGCCATTTGGTTTTGTCTTTCTTTATACCATATATGTGTATGAAGTACTTTTATGTGTATGAAGCAGTGCAATAAAAATAATTTCATTAACAAAACTCTTTATCACCAAATTTAGGTTGGATTCTTTAGGGCAAGCTGAAGAGTCTTTCAAAGATTATCAGAAAAGTGTGTACCAAGTAAGTCATCATTCTAACTTCACAAGATGTCATCCTGATACTCTTGCAAAAAGCGCATTCAATTTCTCAGAAAAATTAGTTATCATTGGGCCTCCCTGGTGGCACAAGGGGTTAAGACACAACCTACGAAGCTATCTGCAACCTCTGTAGCAGGAGTTTGATCCCCAGCCAGCCAGGGAGCTACCCACATGGTATAGCAGACCTCTGACTCACCCACTGCTCCCCTCAGCAGTGTACTCTGTCTCTGGTGAATCCTCTCACCCGCCCACACCTCTGGCCTGTACCCCAGCTCTTGTTTGCATAAATAAATCTTTTTTTAAAAAAAAAACTAGTTAGGGCCTCCCCGGTGGCGCAGCAGTTGAGCGCTGGGTTGCGAAGCTGCGCGCGGCCTCTGCGGCGCCGGTTCGATCCCCGGCTGCTCCCCGGCCACCAGAGGAGGGTCCCACATGGCGCGCAGACCTCTCCTGCCGCCCGCTGCTCCCCTCAGCAGTGTACTTCGGTCCTTCTGCCTGCTCTGCTCCCCGCTCTGGCTCTGGTGAATTCTCTCGCCCTCCCGCGCTTCTGACTGTACCCAGTGCATGTATAAACAAAACAAACAAACAAACCAGCAAACAAATAAATAAAGCATGCCTCTATAAAAAATAAAAAAAAAAAAAAAATAAAAAAAAAAAAAAAAAAAAAAAAAAAAAAACTAGTTATCATTAATAAAAAACAGGATCTCAACTTACCAGCTTATTAACCCGAAGCTTTGAGGAGTTAAATTTGAAGACATCAATTTTCTTATCCAGTGGTTTAATAGTAAACTGAAAGAAGGAAGCAGAAAACAGTGTCAGTCTTACAGCCGAGGATGTGACCATCAATTGCAAAATTCCCAAAAAAGGAGCTTCCACACTGGCAAATACACAGCAAGAGGATATGCTTTGTCCTAGCTCCTGGTGCCCAGGCACTCGACCATCTGAGGGTACCAGGCTAGGGCTGTGGAAGTGCAGGGTCCTGAAAGGGGGCTTCTTGATACCATCTTAGCCTGGGAAACTGAGGTAAGAATACAACCTTGAGGCTAACACTGGAAAGCCCACTGCAGACTAAGACATGGCCCTGCCTAGAGGAAGCTCACCTTACTAGAATTAGGCAACCAGAAGTCACTTAAGAACTTGCTTCAGGGGTCTCCCTGGTGGCCTAGGGGTTAAGTCTCAGTGTTACCATCTGGACAGCCTGCATTTGATCCTCTACCAGGGAGGTGACCCACATATGGCGCAGCAGACCTCTCCTGTCTCGCCCGCTGCTCCTCTCAGCAGTGTATTTCAGTAGATCTGCCTGTACTACCCCCCACTCTGTCTCTGGTGAATCCTCTCACCCCCCCACACCTCTGGCCTACACCCCAGTTCTTATATGCATAAATAAATAAAATAAATCTTAAAAAAAAAAAAAGGGAATTGCTTCAAATGTAAGTCTTCACTGGGTGGCACAAATCACAAATTCTGGAAGTTCAGAGTCAATCTACTATAAGTCAGAAGAGACTTAAGCTTGTCTTTAACAAAGAATATGACAGATAAGCTATAAGGCTGGATGGACAGGGCACACAACAGAAATAAGGCAGAGATGGGAAATGAGCACCATATATGAGGATGCCTGACAATGTTAATTCCTTCATGACTGTGATGACACATGGCTTAGGTGTGGGAGGGAGGCAGGCGTGGGCTGGGTGTGTCCATGGCCGGAGGGTGAGCAGGAGGTAGACAGAGATTTACATGTGATGAGACAACATACAGAGAGCCACAACAAGTTTTTGAAGATGGGGGTTATTTGATGAAGTTATTAATAGGAGAATGGACTACAGCCCAAGAAGAAACAAAGTTCTTAAAATCAAAGGGAGAGAAAGATGAATGATTGTGATAGAGTGATAGTTTAGTAGGAAAACCCAGAGCCAGACAGAGAAGCATTTTATATGGCCACTGCTTTTTCTCAACCATTTCTGATGAGACCGGACAGATCCTAGCTTTCAAAGATGCACTTGAAAATATGGATATCCATTCCCAAGACTAACCTGTCAAGCTGATAAACATGTTTGAGAAAATGAATTCTTGGTATTTTTTTCACATGTTATATTGTCCAACAAGGGTTAGCACACTGAGGACAGAAAATCATCTTTTGTTTAGCTTTCTGGTCAAGTTAACTTAGAAGAAGCATTCGTCTTGTATAGGCTTTTATTTGTGAATTTTATGAAATTATTTTTGGCCTTGCTGTCAAACCCTGGAGCTGTCAGTGGGAAACCACAAGTAGTAGGGTAACCACAGGCTCTGCACCATGCCAGGATGCACACAAAGAATCAATGGATCACTTAAAATAAACCAACATTTTTGTTTTGACAGCACGGCTGTCATGCATAACTACCAAGACTACTTCCTATTATATCAAGTCAGCTTGGGGTCCTCTTCCTGAGTGAGTTATTGACATGATGGGACATGATGGTGTCCTGCCCCTGGAGAGGGTATATTAGACTTTATTGTTTCAGGCCATACTAGGGGAGACTTTAATTCTTGGGTTCTGTGAAGAACGAGTGTTTTGGGAGTCTTTAAGCACACAAATGTGTGGGTGTGCAGTAAACAGACTTTATGAAATTAGAGGTGAAAAACGACCATCCCATGGCACACCTACTGCTTTAAGTCATGCGGAGTTTTCAATTTAAGTACTTTAAAAAAGAAATACCTAAATGCTTTTCTCCGGAGCTACCTATTTAAAAATTTTAAAGTCAGAATGTTTTAAATTAAGAAGCTCAATTTATCTCCTCAAGCATGGTTGAGTATTTTCAACCACTGAAACCAGAAACCAGGGGTCTGGTATTCCTCTCCTTGAGTTGCTACAAAGGAAGAGAAAACATGAAACGTGCTTTGGGTGGATAACAACATAAGCCATCACTGTTCACCACTCCATGCTTGGCACCCTGGCTATACAGGCATTGCACACACTGAGCAGTATCCAGGCCTGCTCTCTTGGGTCTGGGGTCCCAGCGCTCTCTGGCATCCTCTGCCTCTCCCAGAAAAGCAGGAGATGTGGCACCAGGAAACCTGGAGCTCAGCCCCTGTTATTCCACTCACCAAACCCAGGTCACTTGACCCCTCTGCATTTCCACTTCCTAATATAATACAGAAATAACCAAAACACAGCCCTGCCCTTATCACAGTGTTCTTGGGAAGACAGAATCAGGGAGTCAGGATTAAAGTGCTTATAAGCAGAAAAACAGTATATCATCACCTTCATGACTATACTCTTTCAAAGCAGTTATATAGTACAGTGGTCAAATCACAAATCAACTCTAACTTCCTTGAGGGTTGATACTAGATTTTCTTCATTTTTGTTTCTCACATGAAATCCTGCATGTAGCAAATGATCAATAATTCCTTTAAAATTAACAAAGGAAAGTCACTATTATGCATAGAAATATTTTAACTCTAATTTAGTGTATTCATCTAGGTTATTCAAACAATTTTTCTCAGATTTTTGTAAGGTTAGCCTGATATCGTTATCTATATATATATCTCTTATATATCTTATATATATTGCTAAAATACGCACACATATGTATGAATACATATATATATATATATATATATATATATATATATATATATCCCATAATCCCCAGCACATATACCAACCACTGGACAGAGAGAGGGTTTAATATATCACACTTAAAATACAAAGAAAATCTCTCATCAGAAATAAAAAGCCAGGCAGGGCCTCCCCGGTGGCACAGTGGTTGAGTGCTGGGTTGCGAAGCTGCCTGCAGCTTCTGCAGCGCCAGTTCAATCCTCAGCCACTGGGTGAGGGTCCCACATGGCGCGCAGACCTCTCCTGCCGCCCGCTGCTCCCCTCAGCAGTGTACTTCGGTCCTTCTGCCTGCTCTGCTCTCCGCTCTGACTCTGGCGAATTCTCTCAACCTCCCGCATTTCTGACTGTACCCAGTGCTTGTATAAATAAATAAATAAATCTTAAAAAAAGAAAGAAAGAAAGAAAAAGCCAAGAAATAAGAAATATTATTTTCTGGTTTGCTTACTATTCTTTGGGGTTTTTGTTCTGACAAATTGAGGTTCCCAGGTTCTTGTTAGTCAGTAGAGGGTTATTGGAAAAAAGGATGCCAATACTGTTCTTTAAATACTGTAAAAATCAACAACCAAATACCCAAAGCTTAGGAACTAAAGGATTTTAAACAAGGAAAGGTCAATTGGGGATGCTCCAGTAAAGAGCAAAGTTGGGGACAGGCCAGTTTGGTACATCTGTAGTATATACATGTCCTACCTCTTTGTCACTGTACGAGATGTTTCGGATTTCATTCCACGGGAAGGAGATCTTGGGGGTCAGTCTGTTCTCAGGATCATAGATGTGAAGCCCCAGAGCATCCACTCCAAGGAGAAGCTCTGTGCCCTTTTTATTCTGTAAATTTGATAAAGAATAGTCACTGTCAGCTCCTGCTGAGGACTCAAGATTTTATTCAACTTCCCAAAGAATCTAGCACACACTGTTACATATGACAAGCTTCAACAGGTCCCAACAGAGGTCAGAGCTTTCTTATAACCCAGGGGGCCTCCAGTTTCCTGAACTGGGGTAGGCAGAGGCAAAATTATGATTCATGTGGCCCAAAGAGGGATTACTGGGAGCTTCTGTCTACTTCTGGCTAAAGTAGTAATCCAAGTGTTATTACCTTTAATTAAACGAGGTAATCACAGATGTAGAATAAAATCCCTTGGGATAAAACATCTCTTAAGTTAAAAGAAAAGTTGTTGGACAACCAGAAAGAAAATTCTAAGTGAGTTTGAAAATTTTTATAACTGAATGTTGGGGAAAAAATCTATCAAAATGAATTGCTGCGGGGGCCTCCCTGGTGGCGCACGGGGTTAAGATGCAGCACTATGAAGCTATCACAGCCACTGCAGCATGAGTTTGATCCCAGGCCAGGGAGCTGACACACATGGCGGAGCAGACCTCTTCTGTCTCACCCGCTGCTCCCCTCAGCATTGTATTTCAGTAGATCTGCCTGCTCTGCTCCCCACTCTGTCTCTGGTGAATCCTCTCACCTTTCCGCATCTCTGAGCTGCATCCCAGCTCTTGTATGTATAAATAAATAAATCTTTAAAAAAAATGAATTGCAAATTATATATACCTCAATGAAGTTATTTAGAAGTGTCGTTGGTTATTTGTATGCTACACCTCAGACAGTGGTCCTGGTGAGCAGTTAGAGCAATCAGAGGGCTAGCACCATAGATACCAGGCCACTGACCCAGCTGTGGACCCAAGTTTATGCTGCAGGCTGCCCTGCCAGCACTATGGTTGGTCCTTATGTGGCACTGGAAGAAGCTACCTGTACAAGGATCTACAGCGCCTGAACTCTTGTTGACAACAAGGAAACTGCACCAAGACTCAAGGGCAGGAAAACAGATCGGCAAACTGAGAAAGGGCTTGGATGGTGATGAGAAGCACCAATCTAACAGCAGGTGTCAGATGGAGAAGTGAGTCCTCCAAAATAAATCTTTTTACTCCTCCTAATACCTCGAAGTCAGGTACAATCACCAAACCATGAGAGATTCCTTTGCTCATCTGCAAACTCTTAAAACTACTGTGCTAACACAAGTGAAGCTTTGTAATTTTAAAATCTACAGTACAAAACAAGAGATTCCATTATGTTTCTGACTAGTTTAAATTAAAACAAACAAAAAAGGATTCTACCTTCTGCCTCCTGTAATTATGACTTCAAGTCTTCTGGAGATTAAACAGAGATGGGACTCAAGCAATCTCCTTGAAATTGTTTTAAGAACTAATCTTCCTTAGTTGATAGTGAAATTTCAGGAACTTTAATATAAAAGACACTAAACTATCCATTAGCTTTGTCACAATGTAACACTGTGCAATGTAAAAAGATAAACATAAAAATTGTATATGTTAGTCTAAGTGCTGCAGAATTATTCCCTGGTGGTGGCATATATATGATGAGGTAAGAGGAGGTGTGTTCACAAAACTACAGAAATAGAGTAAGTTCGTTTGATCTTAAATAAGAAACCAAAACCAATTAGCAAATATACATTAATAACACTTCAGAAAATAACCTTCAGTATTATTATGGAAAAAATTTTAGGCATTTATTTACTATATGAAATAATTCCTTGGTGTGCCTTATTTTTTGTGAAATGATCCATTAAAAATCTACTTTTAGAAAATAAATTAGTAGAAAGCGATCTTAGAATATTTAAAATGTGTCTCAATTTACCCAAATTTAATAAAAAATGTATAAGAGGGCCTCCCCGGTAGCGCAGCGGGTTGAACACTGCGCTGCGAAGCTGTCCGCAGCCTCTGCAGTGCAGGTTTGATTCCCGGCCAGCCAGGGGGAAACCCACATGGCGCAGCAGACCTCTCCTGCCTCGCCCGCTGCTCCCTTGAGCAGTGTCTTACGTCTGTCTGCCTGTTCTACTCCCTGCTCTGTCTCTGGTGGGTTCTCTCACCCTCCCGCGCCTCTGACTGCACCCCAGTTCTCATATAAATAAATAAATAAATCTTTTAAAAAATGTATAAGAGCCTCAAAAAGGAGAGCAAATCAGTACAATAAAGGTGGGCCACAGTAGATGGGTGTTTGAATGTCCACACTTGAGCAGTTTGGAACCAGCAATGACATACTTTAGAAAATCCCATGAATTCCTTTGGAAATAACTGTCTGCCTGCTGCATCCAGCTGCAGACCCAGGGAAAAAAGATACTGAGCCGGGGATGAGAACAAATGCTTCTCTGGAGTGGAAGCAGTGGGTTCCCAGAGGACAGTGGACTATTTATTAATGGTCTGAATAGAAAACCAATTAGCCTGCTAGTGAGAACAAAAGTCCCCACCCAAACAAGTCAGAAATCTCTAAGAGCAGCTTTACTCTCCTGTGCCCTGGGGGAAGAATGTCTTTGCAGGTACTCCCCATGGGCCAGTTCTCAAAGAGCCACAAATAACCAAGTATTACTCTTGGAGCATTCAAACAAGTTTCTGCTGAGCACAGGACCAGGCCCAAATCCCTCTCCCTGAGGCTCAAATGACACTTAATTACCTAGGATCTAATTGAAGTCCAAAATAGAAAATTAGACTGTAAGACCTCTCTCCCCTTCCTCTTTCCTCTTTACCACTGAACCATTAAAAAGTTTACTACCCTGGAAGGAGGAAGTAACCCATTTTATCAGTCTGCCCCTGTTTCAGTCTCTGCTTCTATCCAGGGAACTCAGAGAGACATCAACGCACCCTGATGGCAAAGTAGTTCACACCATACATCTCCAGGTCCTGAGCTATCTTCAAATATTCCATTTCAGCTTCGTCCCTGTATGAAGAATGAAAGGCATTGTCACTGGAGCTAAGTAAGAAAGCTGGAGGGCAGGTGCATGTGAATCTGCCAGAAGACGCAAGCCAGAGCAGAAACCGGCAAAGACCTTCCCAGTCCCTCTCGGCTGAAGACATCGAGGTCAAGCAGAATTTCCCATCCCCATAAAAACAAGAGGACAGATTCATTACAGTGTCTTTTGGTTTCAATTTCACGCTTTGCTCTTGGTAAATAGTGACACCCATCACAAGTAATTCAAGAAAAGCACGTGCTGTGTATGTTCTCTCTTCAAATGGATTTGGATGTTCAAATTTTATTTAAGTTGTTGCTTTAATCTAACGTGTACTTTCTTCACCTAGAAAGTTCTGACAATGAAACAACTCTCTGCAGGTTACCTGACAGCTACCTTCCAGATTTTATTTCTTTGGTCATGTTGGAGGTTAGGGCAAGAACTATCTGGGCTGTCAAATCCAAGCCTGGTCACCTATTTCTGAGTCAAATGTATAGGAAGTTCTTAAAGCAGCAGTGACTTGCAAAAAACCTCCCAAACAGGCATAGTATGAAAATTTTGTAATTCAAGTCTCCCTGTGACCTTGCCTTTCCCCCTCTCTCTGCGATCTTAAAATGCTCTCAAATAAATGTAAAAAATTCAGCCCGAGAGGGCCTCTCCCGTGGTGCGGCGGTTGAGCGCTGGGTTGCAAAGCTGCCCTCAGCCTCTGCAGCTCCGGTTCGATCCCCGGCTGCTCCCAGGCCACGGAGGAGGGTCCCACATGGCGCGCAGACCTCTCCTGCCGCCCGCTGCTCCCCTCAGCAGTGTACTTCGGTCCTTCTGCCTGCTCTGCTCCCCGCTCTGGCTCTGGTGAATTCTCTCACCCTCCCGCGCTTCTGACTGAACCCAATGCATGTATAAATAAGTAAATAAATAAAATAAAAATAAATAAATAAATCTTAAAAAAAAAAAAAAATTCAGCCCGAGAGTATGCCAAATGCGGGCAAGACCGCGAAGCATCTAAACGTCACACAAAGTGCTGATACAAACTGGTGCAACGATCTTAGAAAACTGTTTGACATTATTTTTAAGCATAGCAACCAGAAGACAACCTGACTATCTATAAGTACCTATAATAGTAGAATGGATAAATAACATGGGGTTTGTTAATACAGTGAAATGAAAATGAAAAATCTACTGCTATGCTCAACAAACCTGACAATATGATGCTCAATAAACAAATGAGACACAAAAAATAGAAACTGACTGCTTTTCTATGAAGTTTAAAACTAATCTATGATCATAGTTAGAAATCAGGAGAACAGCTGGATAACCAAAGATAACTTTGGGGAGAGAGGAGGTAAAGTGACAGGGTTGGGGCGTGGGGAGGGTAACATGCTATTTTGTCACCGGGTATGTTACATGATATTTTCATGTACTGATAATCCATGAAGTAGTATACTTAATATTTTGGGTTAAAGTTTAAAGTTTAAAAAAGCATATGAAAGTTGCTTTGAAGAAGAAAATTTTAAAGGCTATTGAAAGATGATCCATTCCTAACGTGATCGGGGAAATGCTTTAACACGATGTAACTTTTTACTTTTTAGATTACAATAATTAGATTGATAAAAACAAGTGTGTGGGAGAGACATTCTCATACTCTGATGAAGGGCATGTAAAAAGTATAACTGAGGGAGTCTGGAGATACCTGTCAAACACAAGGTGCTCACACTCTTTGACTCAGAAACTGCTGAGCTACTCATACAATTACATAATGATATAAGATTGTATACTGCAGAACATTTTGTAAAAGTGAAAACTATAGTTACTTCAAATGCCATCAATAGAGGAATAGACGTAACAGCTACGGGAAAGGCATACGTTGCACTTCTTTAAATGAAACTAAGCTCTCCGTGAACACAGCAGTCACCCTGACAGACAGAACCCACACCCACTTCACACCCCATGCACTAGAAAAAAGACGCACACAAAACTGATGGCCAGCATCACACCCAGCTTTCCTTTTTTTTCCCTGTACTTAGGTACCGTATTTTGTTCAACAAGCATGTCCCAGTTTTGTGGTTCTTAAAGAAAGAAGTCGGTAAAGAAATGTAAACCAATAACGAAGCAGCCTCACCTGGCTCGGCCTCGGTGCTCTGCATACCAGGCAGTAATTCTCTCCTCCCACATTTCTGGAGTCATTTGATACAGATTTATTACCTACCAAAAAAAATTGAACAAAATAAAAACCCACACACAAGTAAAGTTTTGGTATTGTGTGCCATTTTTATAATTATGTATCATTTTTACAAAACAGCAAAGCTATTTTTAAAAAGCCACATACAGAGAGCCAGTCACACACAGACGTGGGCGTGTAAACAAGCACCATTCAATTTGAGTCACAACTCAGGCAGCTGCACCATTTATCAGGCCTAGGTGCACCCCTCGCCTGGCAGGGCTCCCCACCACCCCCCAGGCTGTGGTTCCCCGGAGGGAGGAAGTGGGCCAAGAGCAGTGCTCACTAATCCTGTGCAGACAGCCAGGGAGCCTGTCTGTGCAGCTGCCTTTGCCTGCACAGAAGCCATCAAAGGAGCAGGAAAAGTCAGGAAAGGTAAGGAGCAGCCCTTCACTACACAATAGATGAGCAGAGCTGTAATATCAGAAATAGCAAAAGGGAGAAGGGCCTATTTCTTGGCTAAAGAACAAGATAAACTACACCAAGGATTAAAAACTACAATACCGCCCCCAACTCTTCTATCACCAGGAGCAGGAGCAAACAGCTCACTTGCCTGGGCTAAATCACTTGCAGCCCTCAATGCATCCCTGAGAATCGCTGCCACTCATCCGCCTTTACACAGACAACCATGCCAGAGAACATTTGTACAGGTCATGTCAGTCAGGGCAGCCCCAAACTAACTCCACGAAACCTTTGCTTCTTAATATTCTCAACACAGACTGCACATTTTTTACTTAAGAATGATTACAAAATATTTTTTTTAATGTTCTTGCCATGTACTCCCAACATTCTTTCAAGTCCTTCAGTTAGTTTTCTTGCAGAGCACATAACTGCTCTATCTTCCCAAAGAGGGAATGTTTTTCTTCTTACCCTTTTGGGAAGCAATTCTTCTTGGCCCAAAAATCCCCGCTTGTGAACAGAAGGGTCGTAGTCACCATACTGGAAGGAGAAGAAAAGGAGAGCAGGGCGATTGAGATTCTACAGACAACTGCCATTTCTGAACAGAGCTCAAATCAGTCTCATTCCCTCCCAGCTCCGGGGAGCAATTCAATTCTGATGACAAGTCAAGATTTCAACCTTGCTAGTTTGTTATCCTTGAATGAAAATACAAAGCTGATTATATCTATGAACAGAGCTGCACAATCCTGTAAGGGATGGACAGGTGATGTGCTAATAAGAATGTGGCATTTGTATAGAAATATGACTGTGTTTTCTAACCCACAAAGAAAGCAGTTAGTACCAAAACAGCAGCTTTTGAAATGAAACAACAAAACACAACTGTGAAAGTTGTGATTAGCATCGTGTGATAAGAGTCTTACCTACGAATGCTTCTAAGTGGCCGGTAATTGGAACCAACTGCTAGGTGGGAGATGAGAATAATGCAGGCAATATTTTTAATACCTATCACTCAAGGTTCTGCAAAATGCTTTGGGGGAAAAAAATCTGATGCCAAAATTGTCATTCCTATCTGTACAAAGAAATGAGTAAAAGATTTTCCTAAAGCTGCAAAACAAGTCACTAGTGGGACTAGAAATGGGCCCTGCATTTCAATACATTCATCCAGGGATAATGACTTGGAAATTTATTTTCTGATTTAAGAAAACATCTCTTTCTTTCCTAAAAAACTTAAATCTGACAAGGAAATAATAAAAAATGATAGCATTTTTAAAAAGAAACCAATCATAAAACATCTAGTAGAATGTGAAATCAAAGTCTATCTCTTATCAATCAGCATCTAGTGACTTTTCTTTTGACCAAAACAAAAAATCTCAGTACCTTGGTGTAATCATCTATAAACATTTACCCTTTCAGTCATCAAATTGGAAAAACAAAAGAAAGATCAGGCACAAGACTGTCAGCTCCACAAACCATCAAACTGGATCAGGATATAACCCACCCTCTCATTCCTAAAGAGCCTCAAGTTAGACTTGTGTGTTTCCCAAATGAAGTTGTACACCTAACAATAGATAGCGTGGGATAGAAAGGAGATGCTCATCAGTAACTTTACATGCTGCATTCCGATACCACTCCATTACAAAAGCCTCATGAATTAATATTTTTCATGAATCTCATCATTATCTTGTGAATAGCAGAATTGTATTACATTGCTTTTCAAATGTTAAGAGAATTAATTTTTCAAACTAAACATTGAAAATCTGCCAGTATGGGGGCCTCCCTGGTGGCACAAGGGGTTAAGTCTTAGCACTGTGAAGCTATCACAGCCACTGCAGCACAAGTTCGATCCCCAGTCAGGGAGCTGACCCACATGGCGCAGCAGACCTCTCCTATCTCGCCCACTGCTCCCCTCAGCAGTGTATTTCAGTCAGCCTGCCTGTTTTGCTCCCTACTCTGTCTCTAGTGAATCCTCTCACCCCCACCCCAACACCTCTTGCCTGTACCCCAGTTTTCGTATGCATAAATAAATAAATCTTTAAAATAAGTAAATAAATAAATCTGCCAGTTTTTGTAACTCTGTCTAGGCATTTCTTCATTTAAAAAAACCTAAAGGAACCTGCTTTCCCTCAATCTGTGAGAGGCCCAGGGATGTAATAAATCAGTCACTGAGCCTAAATGGTGGTAGCCTCTAGGGAGGCAGGCTGCTTAAGCTTCAATCTCAGCTCTGTCACTTATTAGCTGTGACCTTGGAAATTTGTACCTCAGCTTTCTCATTGTAAAATGGGGATAATAACAGTATCTTAGAGGACTCTTGTGGAGATTAAATAATACCCATGAAAATTTTAAACTATGCTTGACACATAGCATTCAATTCCTGACATCAAAAGATAAAAGTTCAAGTCTGTCACCTCTGACTCTGTATTCTTATTTGTCAAGTGAGAGCACTAGCCTTAGAAAATTTCAAAGGGGGAGGATTCTGGAGTATTGCCGAAGGCCCTCAGTAAAGCACCTTCTCTCTAAACCTCAGCTTCCTGGAAAACCAGGATCCTTAATAGCACTTACCTCATTATGGGGGACAAGGAGGATGTAAAACAATCCAGGTGAGCATTTTGTATAAACCTGCTTCACAGTGAATGTCAGGTGTTACTGTTATCTTCTGCATTATTTATAATGACACTGGTTCCTGTTTGCATCTCTGATTTTTGCTCTATTAGTTGGGTTTGCAAGTCTATCAACTGTGCTGACCTAGAGCTAATGCAGAAGTAAGCAGATATGCAAAGTTAAAGTTGTAAATTCAGACTCCAAAGGCTTGGAAGATTTAGAATCCACATTATCTTGCTGAGCTCCCAGCTACTCTACTGATCAAATACTTTCCATCTGAGGACTGCAGGGGCAGCAAAGACCCTGCAAAGAACTTCTCCATGGAACTGACTCCACTTACTACATTAAAGCCACCTTGATGTCTGTATCTGCTCCTAAATGTCTCTTTAAGGAACAAAAGAAAAAGAAACCCCTTAAGTTAGGCAGTTGGTGAATAAAAAAGAAAGTCATAACACTCCATAGGTAAAGATAGCTGTCCTCACTCTTTTATGTGCTGCATACTGAGAATAGAGCCAGGAGTAAATTTACTGTGAAGATATTAATGATTCTTAGATTATAAGCTGCCGCACCTGCCAGGGCCTGTATTTAATTTTATATTCATACTTTGGTATTCTTGCATTAAAAAGCAAACCCTAAGTTATATAACTGTAGGCTCCCAAAACCTGGATCGACCCCTGACATAGACCAATTGGATTTTTTAAAAAGATTTATTTATGTATGCATACAAGAACTGGGGTACAGGCCAGAGGTACAGGGGGTGAGAAGATTCACCAGAGACAGAGTGAGGGAAAGAACAGGCAGACTGACTGAAAATACACTGTTGAGGGGAGCAGCGAGTGAGATAGGAGAGGTCTGCTGAGCCATGTGGGTAGCTCCCTGGCTGGCTGGGGATTGAACTTGTGTTGCAGAGGCTGCGGATAGCTTCACAGTACTGGGCTTAACCCCTTGCGCCACCAGGGAGGCCCTGAACCAACTGAATTTAAATTTAAATTTAAATTCAAGAAGGAACTTTGCCATTTAAAGAACTCATAGAATCAAATTCTTAGCAAAAATAGAAACACCCTCTAGATAGTAAATACTTTCCTCTGCCTATATGTATGGAATATTAGATCAAATGCTCTGAACAGGATTTCATAAAACATAAAAGATTTGATCAAGACATACACAGAAAAACTAGATCCCTACCCACACCAGTCACTAAATTCCAGATGGATTAAAGGTGTTAAGTGATAACAAAAATCCATAAGAGCTCCAGAACAAAAATACAGAAGAACATATGTATACTAATGATTGGTAAAGTCACTCCAAAAATCACTTAAAACATAAAAAGACTGACACGTTAAAACAGACCCAGGTTAATATCCATAATATATGGAGTTCCTATAACTCAATTAGAAAAGGATAAATAATACAATGGAAAAAGGCAAGTCATAAATAGTTGATCCACAGAGGAAAGAAATACATTTGGTAAACCGATGACAAGATGCTCAGCCCAAATGGAAATCAAGGAGGTGAAAACTTCTTTAAAATCTTTTTATTAGATTGGCAAAATATTTATATACTTATTTATTGTGTGACTATATTTATTCTTTTAATTGAAGTAAGATTAATGTAACAGGGTGGTCCCCAGGGAAAGGGGAGGTTCCAAGTTTCCTGCCCCACCCAAGGAAGGCTGGAGCTGAGCTGGGAGGAGAAGCTGGAGAGGAGACTCAGAGAAGATAGGAAGCGGGATGGAGAGCAAGGAGACCTGGAGGAGGCACGTGGAGCAGAGAGACATGTGAAGAAGCTGCACTTGCTTTTTGGCCTTGGACTGGTCTTAGGGTCTTGGGGAACCTGGAAGGAGACACTTGAAACAGACATGGGTGGAGACCCTTGGGGAGGTTGACAATGGCAGCTTTTGTCTTGATTTTGCTCCTTCCATTTCAGGAGTGCTGGGTCCCTTCCGCCCCTTTCCTGGGGGTGCCCACCAAAAGGTACCTTAGACGTGTAGCAGGCTTTCGGGCCTCAGTGGCCCTGCTTTGAGCCAACCTTATTTGGCTGGGCATTTACGCATAAGGGGATGGATAACTGGGTGTTTCATGTGGAAACTATCTTTCCCTTGTCTTTATTGCACACTAATTTTTTAAAATTCCTTTCCATTAAAGGTCTTACACACTAGAGTATGTTGATGTAATGGGCGGCAAAACCTATTTAAAGTGAGGTCAGTTTGGGGGCCTCTCTGGTGGCACAGGCGGTTGAGCACAGCACTGTGAAGCTGCCCACAGCCATGGCAGTGCCGGTTCGATCCCCGCCGGCCTCGGAGCCACCCCCATGGCAAGCAGACCTCTCCTGTCTTGCCTGCTGCTCCCCTCAGCAGTGTATTTCATCAGTCTGTCTGTCTGTTCTGTTCCCTGCTCTGTCTCTGGTGAATCCTCTCACCCTCCCACGCATCTGGCCTGCACCCCAGTTCTTGTATAAATAAAATAAAATCTTAAAAATAAATAAATAAAGTGAGGTAGGTTTGGAGGCCCCGGGGTGCCTCTCACCCTACCTGGTAACATAAGGATCCTCCCCATCAGGTATCGCCACTACAGTGTACCCACCACCAAATCACCCTTGATCCATCACTATAGTCCATTGTGCTTCCTTCTTTCTTTGCTCTTACCCTTTCCCCAAGATTAGCAAACATTTTAAAGGCTGACAGCATCCTCTGTTGATGAGGATATATAAAAATAGGTATTCTCATGCTATTTTTAGAAGTTAAATTAAAATTTACATATATAAAATCCACCATTGTAAGCATTTAATTTAGTGGTTTTTAGTATATTCAGAATGTTGTATACAACCATTACCACTATCTAATTCTAGGTTTCCATCACCCTAAAGAAAAATACCATGCCCATTACCAGTAACTCCTAATTTCCTTCCCCTCCTCCCAAGTCCCTAGCAACCTAAATCTACGT